GGTTAAGTGTAGCTTGCGCTTTTCCTCCACTTAACCCATACAAAAATAAATACAGGCATGAATAAAATAAAAAGTATTTTATGTACATATTTGTACTTAATGTAAGTACTGTGTTTAATGAATAGATACCATTTTTATTAGCGGAAGTGGAAGGTAAGTATTTTGAATTCTGGCACTGTAAAAGCAGATTCTTGATATGTATTTTAAATTATCAAATATCAAAGTCCCAATTTCACTTAGACGACTTATTAGCTTTTCATTTGAAAGAAGGTAATGAGGTAATTTGGAGTTTATGAACTTAACAAAGTAAAGTATATTCATATAATTGTTGTAACATTTAACCTACCTAGTTTTTGAAAAGATGTCGAAATGTGGTAGTGCTTCTCCAAGTTTTCTACTGATCTACAGGGAGAATTTTGAATTTTTTGGAAGCGCTTTTTAGATGGATAGAATATTTCTTAGTTTTGAAGTCTAAAATTTGTTCATTTCAAATAATTAGTATTTATTTGAGATCATGCAACTATAATTTTGTCATTAATGAAATTGTTGTAGAATTGGCAAATAATTGTATATTTCAATATTTTACCACTTTGTCTATGTCAGCTATGTAAAAAGAAGTGGTCCAAGCACTGTTCCTTGGAGCACCCCCGGAGATATTGAAGTTTCTGAGTTGATATCAATAACATCATTTTGAAATCTGTTTCTGATGAAGTTACTTATCAGTCTAATTGAACAGACAAAAAAAACATAATATTTGAATTTAGCTTATAAAATTGAATTATTTGAATGCTATGCACCTATTAAGCATATTTCACACATCATACGTTTGCCTCTAAAACCGAATGATAGAGATTTTTTTATATTCGCGTATTCCTCCATCTTGGAGGAGGGTGGGCCTAGGAGAAGAATAACAATCTTATCCGACAGCCAGGCTGCAATGAAAGCATTAAGTGCCTGTAAGATTACTTCGAGTCTTCTATTGCAATGCAGGGAGGCTCTGGATTGCCTCGCAGCGAGGCATACGGTATCATTAATGTGGGTACCGGGGCACGCTGGGATAAGGGGCAATTAGACGGCGGACACTCTGGCGAAGACAGGATCAGCCAGCAAGCTTGTTGGTCCTGAGCCAGCTCTAGGAGTGACCGCGCATAGAGCTGGGAGGAAAATGGAGGTGTGGGTTGCAAGACAACACTCTCAGAAATGGAGAAGTATCTCCAGACATCTCCGCCAGGCACGGGAACTCATTGAAGGGCCCAGTGCTAAGGATGGACGTTTCTGCCTATCTCCGGATAGAGCCAACCTAAGGTTGCTGGTGGGACTGTTGTCTAGCCATAACACGTTAAGTCGCCACCTGCACGTGATGGGGGTGGCTGAGGATCCCTTGTGTGAACGCTGCGGAGTAGAGGAAGAGACCTCGGCGCACGTTTTGTGTCGCTGTGAAGCTCTGAGCTACTATAGGCAGACTATACTAGGGTCCATTACTTTGGACCCTGAGGACGTCAAGGAGCTTGGACTCAAGGCGATTCTCAACTTCCGGAATGCCTCTAATTTCAAGATTCATTCATTCCTGACATCTAAGTTCACCGCCCGACAAACCGGTCCAGATGATTTATCTATCCATACAGAAGTGCAAAAACATACCATACACGAACTGAACGATAACTCGGTGCAGCTACGCCGCGCTGTGCGCTGCCGTGCAGATGAGGCAAGGGACAACGTTGCCAGGAGAACATCAACTACCGGTATGGTAATGAAATAATGTCTATGGACTAATTGTATGAACCTGTTTGACTGACTTAATCCGCTTAATTTTTCTGTTGCTCGTAACTGACTATTCTCTCACAGGATTTAAGTAGCACTGAACTTAATCCTTTATGAACTGATCACAGCTTTGCGTAGGTAGAGCAGGGTCAATCTATACTTTACGCCATTTTTGGAATACAGTTCGTTTTCCCTAATACGTGAAGCGATAGTCATAAACATGCCTCAACCTTGTTTCCATGGGTAGAGTTCATATAGTTGAATGCACCCAAATGCAAAAAAGTGAGACTCTCTCCTGCACTATACTACTCAGCACAGCTTGCGCTCTCACTCTACCGCGACTGCCTGATGCTTTTCATATATGGATATTTCTGCGCATGAGTTACAATCAACTCATATTTACTCCCGGCCCTGATGATTAGGTGAAATTATAAACAATCACAAAAACGCTCGGGAAGCTAACGTCAGCATACAAGCCGCGAACGCGAGTATTGCTGTGCAGTCTTTTGTTAAAAAAAGAACATCGCTATGTTGGTGGTGAGAATCCATAGGTGATGTGATTGAACATGTGAAAATCGGCGCGGAACATTTTTGTGCGATGATGGTTTCAAATTCGACACGTGACAACAACCAGTTGAAGTATCTGGCCGAATTAGAGGTAATTTGGAGGTTTTTAGATGGATTTAGGAAGACATTTTGAGTTATAGGTGTACTGCTATTCAGTGAGTGTGCCGAATCTTTGGCGCCTTACACTTCGGGCGAGGAAGACGAAGCTAAAAAGCCTTGGCCTTAGTGAAAAAGCTGTATAATTTCAGGCTTACTCATGCTGTTTTATCAGGGTTTCAATTTATGCAAGATACGTAGAGTGGATTGCTTAGATAAAATGAAATGTTTAGTTATTATGAAATTAGATTGGGTATTCGTTTTGAGGGTCTGCGGTTTCAGGATACCAGATATATGAGTTTATTCTCGATTATGTTGGAGAACCGCAAAGATCTGTTACGAACCCTGTGATTCTTTCTATTTATGAATGATTTGTAAATATCTATCAGATCAACGCTATATGGTGGAACAGTCAAGGACCAGTACATAATCAATTGTTGAAAAGTTTAATTCTGAGAGGAATTGCAAGCAATCAGAGAAATTCATGTCAGCACTCAACAAAAAATGGGAGTGATTTTTTCACTAGAAATAGCAATATACAAACTGCATGCTAATGCCAGGCCACATGTTGCTTTCGATACATTCTATCACATCCCCCATACTTTTCGGACTTAGCACCCTTCGACTATGTCACCTATTTGCTGAAGCTGTTGGGTAGCAAATCCAAAAACAAGGACGATATCCAGCAAGCAAGCGCCGCACAGTGATTCGCCTTCCATACTAGTGCGGCCATAAATACACGACTGAGATTTAACCTTTTTCATTGTATTTTAAACCTTAAATACAGATGTACAAACATGAAGATGCAACTTATAGAATTCTTTTTTAGACAAAAAAAAACATACTAAGCATGTATTAAAGATGTTTCTCATTATTTTTGTTTTAGATCAACCTTATATTAAAGAAATAAAATAAAAGTTCATAATAAGGGCAAACAAGATGTTGCAAAAAAAATTATAAACTCTAACACTTATAATACATTATAATGGAAACAATTAACAAATTCAACACAGATTTTGACAATATGTCGTTTTTTTAACATGTAACTTTCGTAAACCCGAAATCAAGGGATCCGGATGAAGAAGAAACCTATTAATTAAATCGGTATTGGTCAAACCGCGGCTCATTTTCGCATGATCTCCTCAAAATAATTTAATATTTGTTAATCGGTTCAGCCGCTTCTTCAGATAGCTCCTCAATTGACAACAAAGCATGAGTTAGTATTTTGTGGACCCAAGCAGGCGTATAATACCATGGATACTCGGCAATTAATTGTCGAGCAGTATAAAACAACGATACAATTGGATTTGGAAAACACCTCTTTTTTCTGTACTATGAACGGCACCTCACAAACCTAAAAAGGGGCAGCAGGAAGCAGATGAAACCTATATGCCCCTAATCTAGACATCCTCCACTTTGAGATAATATTTATCTCAGCTGCAGCAACGCGCAGCCAAAAGTTTATAACTCGAAATGAATTAATTTTGTAGGAAAAAATCTAGCAAAAACAGCTTACAATAAAAAATTTATATAAAACTCCATAACGCAGGTTTTTACATAAACCAGGTAAATAATCAGAGTATATACCACATTCTTGCGCCTCCATATTATCACTACTTGAAAACAGTAGGCTTAAAATTATAATCCATAAAAAAAGTAAGTTGCAATGACTTACACGTCCCGGTAATTAGACTCGAGAAGCTGTCACTTGCGATGGACCAAAGTAAATGACAGTTTGAACTAATTGCATTGTTATTCATATTTTTTAAAAGTCTCGCGCCTACTCGATAACTTAGCGACTGATTTAGATCGTTATAAAGTCATCAGTTTTTGGGATTTTTGGCCTATGGAGGAATCACTGTGCGCCGGTTCAATTTTGCCATCACTTTGGCAAGAGGTCATAAATAATGATGAACATTATATTATGTGTATAAAAAAAATACATTTTATTATTACCTAGAAACGGACAGATTCGACTAGTCTGACAGATTTTGACATTGGACATTGATAAACGGAATTTCTCTTGTTTTATTACAGATCCGGACAGATCTCCCAAAAAAAAAGATTGGAATAATGTACTAGGTATAGGGTTTTGATGATTAATTGTCGAGTTACATGTAATTCAACTTTGGCAGCCCGCCAGTCTGCCATTTTAAAAAACAGTAAATTCATACTCCCGGATTATAAAGTACATAAGGAGCTTCAAATGAGGTGTCACGTATAAAAATTGTCCAAGATGGTGCTCAGTTGCATCTTGAAATTTTGCACTATCAATTTTACGCTAAGATATACGGTGGGTGAGGTTTAAATCTAGCTGACGTCGTAATGTGTACGAGAAAGAGTGCGCCGATGGCATTCGTGACCTCGTAGGGTGAATGTGCCAGCAAGCAGCAAGGGTATTACGTAACTTGAAAACTGACATTGCGTCGTTTTTTTGGACATTTCGTAGTTTTTTCTACAAGATATTAACTTAGCCCAAGCTGTTGTACACTTGTTGTGAACTCGTGTTGTAGCTGTACGTGTTGCTTAAACGTCAGCGAACAGCGATCATAGGAAGCAAACGTGAAATGAACTAATTGCACAGTAAAAACTACCTAGTCTGCAAGATGATATTTCGTCGATTTTTTTTGAGGTTTTCTTACATAATAGCCGGGTATTTTACGTATCTTGAAAAATGACAATTTGTCGTTTTTTTTTGATAGTTCATAGGTTCTTTGTGGCATAGCGTAGGTTTTTCTACAAGATGTTAGCTTAGCCAAGCACTTGTTGTAAACTCGTTTTGTAGCTGTACGTGTTGCTTAGACATGGAATGAACTATTGGCACACTAAAGACTACGTAGTCTTCAATATAATGTTTTGTCGGTTTTTTGACGTTTTTTAGGTTTTTTTTTACATAATACCCCTGCCGGACACTACCAGTAGTCGGACAAATGTTATATTATTGGTATACAACCTTGAATATTTGAAATCCCATACCTGCTGGTAATTGGTACCAGATTTATCAACTAATTTGTGACAGTTTAAAAAAAATTCACATCCACAGTTGTCACATTGACAACAGTATTAGTGCGTCAAAAACAACATGCATTCGATTCCTCAATTTTTGTCATTTGTCGGCAGCTGACAATATACTTATAAATACTGTTCTTGTTACATATGCAGAAGACATTCAAAATTTACGAAATAAATTAATCTTAATATGTTATTTTAACATTTTGAGGTCAAATTGGAGTGGCCGCTGACCGGATCATCATTCTAGTAGGAATCCAATAGTCGGACACGCATCCGACAACTGGAATGGCGTGGTCGTTATCAATCTATCTCTTTCTCTTTAAACATAGAGACTATCAAACTTCCCTCTTGGAATTGAACAAACCAAAATACGACTAATGCCTCAGCAAGTGGATGGTCAGCGAAAGATAATAAATAATGTGGATTATGGCCAGTGATATTGAGTCCGTCTACTGGATTGAACGAATTTTCATAGCATCCCAATAGCCGGCCACTTCATTTTCTCGCCATTTTTTCACGAGACTGTGAAATACAATTTACATTTTCACTTCATTCGGGAATGGATACCAAGAAAAAATAAATGTGTATATATAGTGAAGGCAGGTTAAAGGAAGCTGTGAGAAATGTTGGGGAATTGCTTGGAATATATGAACAATATGGCAGTTCATAATCGACAGTGCAGGACCAAATTGAAGGAAAAAATTAGTTTCTTGTTCATTTTTATGTAGTTTGTATGTACTGTACTGGCTAAATAACACCTTTTTGGTTAACATTTTTCTTATAAAATCACAGGCATATCTACGAGTATAAGCAATGTACTTGTTGTCGGCGAAAATTTAATGACATACATCATCTCCAAAAGCATTAGTTGTGTTATCTTGAACACATAATTCGTAATCACTCTTTCTTTTCCACTTTTGTTTAAACTGTCCGACCACTGGCATATTCACTCTAGTCGGGTTGCTAGGCAACGAGGTGCTTATATCTCTTTCTAACACACGTATTGCACGCTTCTCGCGCTTCTCACTCGTTCACATTACGACGTCAGCGGAATTTGGTTTTCAGTGTAGTATTCATGCAATTGCATCAAAAAGAATCTTAGCCCATTAGTTTTACCTGTTAAAAAATAAAGTGTGGAGGGCACTGTATATGATTGTGTGATTATGTGCCCCAAACATTTTTATGTTATATACTATTCTCACTTATAATTGCTATGTATATCAAATGACTAACAATCAGTCATTTTATATGCATATTCTGAAATATCTGTTTCCTTTGCTATATCAGTGCGATTGATTATGTGTAAACAAGATTACAACTGAATTGCAACTGTGGTTAGGATATTCAAGGAACCATCTGGTTTCAGCGCATTTTTGCGATTTCACTTGAGTTAAGAAAGATGTAGATCTATCGCACGTTTATCCTGAATATACTAATGACATGTACGCCTATTTCATTAGATAGGGAAAAACTTGTATGGTCATTCTGGTGCAGAAAAGCTCAACAGCGTTTTCTGCCAAAAACGGCATACTCGCCAAAGATCTTCAACCATCCGCGATGTATCCCACCGCAGCATCTTTTGCACGTATATAATAATGAAATGTACGCTTATTTTTTTCGACAGGAGTGGTTAATCCCTGAGCTTTGTTCCTAAATCGCTTGCTATAAAGCTATATTTAAGTTGTATTCTTTGTTTTTTACGTATGCCTTGCTAACAATGTAACTTCAGGGCAGATATTACCTGTTGATCACTTCATTTTCTTGCTGGTAAATTTTCTTTCAGTTTTGGAAATACTTCAAAACACTAGGGATTAAATCTGGTGAATGTGATGTCATATCAATACAGAAGGGTGCAGGGAGCATTATCCTTATAGCCGATTTTCACAATCAAATAAATTCACGATTAAATTGTCTGAAAAATTGTTGAATTTCTTAATTTCTTCAGGGTAACAAATAGTGATTTCAATTTCAAGCGAAAATATA